CGAGACTGGGTTAGTATTGATTAACACTAAGAAAGGGATTCAATTTTGATCGTGTTCTGTTGCATTGAAGATCGCTCATACTGTAAGTGTTTATAAAGTGTATTTTGTTGTGTTATAGACACATTGAATTCCTTCCTCAACTAGTGTGATTGTTGTCAGATTATTGGAAAATGAATTGTGGTTACCTCCATGTGGTTCTATCCGTTGTTAATCTGCTCTTTTGTATCAAGATCTATTGGCTGTAGACCAACGATTGCTTTCAACCTGACTACGTAAACATTCTCCAGTGTGATTTGATTAATGTGAGAGTATGGCAGTTTCGAAGTTACATTCTTGAACTTGCAATTAATTTCGACCATATTGATTTTGACGTTGTGATTTATTCTTATCTAACTCATTGAATCATTCAAAGCTGTTAGCGCGCATGAAATATCACTAGAACTGTATCTGCTCAAGCAATATGTCTGATAATTAATTTTGTCATCCTAATCTGTTTCTCATTATAGAGTTATTGAAATCCAGAATCAGTCACTGATAGTATTCTGGAAACACTAGACTCCGGTTTGGTTCTGGTATGTGCCCACTGATGACTAGATTGGTAGGGACGTTCTCGGAGTGATCAGTAGAATTCAACCTTGTCGGGTTTGATCAGTCAGTATCTAACGAAGACAAATAAGTGGTTGAGTGAGGATGAGCGAAATGCTTAGATTGGTGGAAGTTACACATCCACATCGTTGCATTCCGACCAGCTCAGTGATCAAGAATTTAGGCGTTCTCATGCCACACCTAAAGTTCTTGTTTTTGAATCCTGCGAGTAGCAGGCAGGAATCGTTGATGTACACTGTCACTATCACCAAGATGAAACAGTTAGTAGTCGAGTGGTCCCATGTTTCGAGTACTGATGGTCTAGCAATGATTGAATTATGATTTCAGTAGTAAACTGTTTCATTTGAATGGATTCTACAACTAATCGTACACATACTTGATATGTTAAGACACACACAGAAGCAGAAGGATGTGACTTGTTGAAATATTTTTTTTGATATTAAGAAAGAAAACGAGTAGTAAGTAGTAGTAGTAGTAGCCCACTAGGCATTCAAAAACCAAGCCACCAATAAACTTGTATGCATTGAATAAGAAGTATATTTTAATTTGTTCTGTTTTTCAATTTCATTCCATCTTCATTTATATTCTCTCTAGACTGATCATTCAATATGGAGGAGTCCAATGCAAGTGATTACCCTCAATCGGCGGAAATTACTTCATCACTGATTATGGTGGATCTTGTTAATAGGCTGGAGAATTTGGAATTCATTCCGCCGTATTTTTGTCTTGATTTTGAAGATGAACTAGAATTTTGTGAGTATGAACGCGACACATTGGACGATTGAATGCTGAGGCAATCACTGTAAAGTCAGAAACAATATTATTTATTTTTGTCAATAATTATTTTTATAATAAACTATGTATTAATATTATTTTCGTTATGTGTTCTCGTGGGACTCCCAAGTGAGCAACGCTGTTATTAGGAAAAGGGTGCTAGGTAAGAATGGAAGATCAGTAGACGAAGTAATGAAACTTCATCATTTGAGGTGGATGGGACATGTTCTGCGTATGCCTAACCACCGACTGCTTCGACGAGCTTTGTTTTATAGTGTAGGAATAGGTTGGAAGAAAGTTAGTGGCAGCCAAACCAAAACATGGCAAAATCCATGAAGTCATTGACAAGTGGACTTAGCCATATCGGTAATTGTCGACTACCTGGTTCGGGTCCGCGAGACGAAAATAATCGATGGTTAGAGACCTTGAATGACATGGCTCAAAATCGTTTGCAATGGCGCCGGTGCATTTCTTCTCTGTGTTCTCTCAAATCCTAACCTTCTGGGTTCTTCAACAACTCTAGTTTTGACTTTCTAAACTTATCTCACTGAATCATACTTCGTGAATAATATCTTCTAATCCCAACCTCTCCGATTACTTCTAATACCTTTACTACCTCTACTACTATTGGATTTGAATTGACAATTACATCTCTGTGCTAATAATGTGGTATGGGAACATGAACTGATGTACTCACGTACGAAGTTCTACGTTGCATCTGACTGACTGATGGTTAATATTTGGAATCTAATTTATGAAGGCCAAAATACTATCAGCAACAACCTAATGTGGGAGACAAAAAAAGCATATTCCGATTGATGAGGATATCAGGAAGAAGCACTGTAAGTGGAGAGGACACACATAGAGGAAAACATTTAACTGTGTCACAAGAAAAGCTCTCACTTGAAATCCTCAAGGCTAAAGGAAAGCAGGTTGACTAAAGAACACATTTATTACGCTGAGGAAAGGAGACAGACATGAGAAGAATGAAGAACGGTTGAATAGAACTAGATTGATCAGAGTTTGAAACCAACATTCTTTGATGCCAGCCCAGTAGTCCAGAGGTTAGGCGTTCATACTCAAGACCCATGGCCCCGGGTTCAAATCCTGTCAGTTTCAGGACTCAGTGATTCGCACTTCCACTGATGAGTCCCACTCATATCAGGACGAAACGGCCGTTTGGTGCTTCCAGGTTTTCTAATAATGGTCTAACAATGGTTGACTGATGAGATGATTTAAATGTGCAAAGTACTATAAAAGTAGGTCCAGGACAGAGTCGGTTCATGTGTCTTGGCATTCATTCATTCATTCATTCATTCATACAGTTTCATTGTTCAGATATGATAGCTTAGAACACATCAACTTGCATCACTTATGGTGTAGGCTAGATATCTGTTTATTAATCTTAGGACGACTCTGTTGCACCGCAAGCAGTCCATTCCGTCTCATTTTATGGCTGTGAAACATGGCCACTCAGAGTTGAAGATATTCATAGGTTACTGGTTTTCGATCACAGGTGTCTTTGAATCATTACTCATATATCCTGGGACAATCAAATAAGCAATATTGGTGCTAGTAAATAGGTATTAGGTAAGGAAGTCAGGTCAATTGATGGAGTAGTGAATCTTCCCCAATCTGAGGTGATTGGTATATGAGTTACTTATATCTCCAGCCAACCATCGACTGTCTCGATGAGCGATGTTTTTTTTTGAAGTAGGGTTATGTAGGAGGAAATGTGACACCAGTGCGTGCGGGCCAATTTCAACTGAATTGACGCATGTTAGTAGGTGTTAGGTTACGCAAGACAATCGTATACGACAATGAAAGACTTTGAATGAATGATACGGTTCAAAATCTTTTGCTGTGGCGCAGGTGCGTCCATGAAGTGCAGCTGTTCTTCTCAAATTTACATTTGCATCCTTTGGTCATACACTATCAACAGCAACCTACTGTGGGAGAGAACAAACCAGATCCAAGCAGGGGTGGAAATTTGGAAGAAACGGAAATGTAGTGAACTAGAACACGGGAGGGGCAACCGGATTGATTTAACGAAAATTACAGAGTTACTCAGTGCAATCGGAAAACCATATGATAAATCGTTAATTTGCAAAATATCAGTTCATCATATCGGAGTGGACTGTTCCTGTTGCAAAACATCAATCCATTGTCACTGTTCATGCGTTTCATACTAACTCCATTGTTTTCTAACTCTTCCTTACTTGATCTTCCCTCATCTTCTGCTGTCAGACATTACGTTGACACTCACGTCATATACTACTTATAAGTAGCTCACACCACACTCGTCCCTCCTTTTAATAAGCTGTCGTCGTAGTCTTTCAAAACAGGGACCCTGGTCGGTTAATATCACCTTCCGTATTCCGTGACACGCTACAATATGCCGGATTACCACTTCGATCATTGTTCTTGACGGCTGATCTGGAATGGGTACGGCATCTATCCAACGTGTAGCGTTTATTAGTTCCCGGTGCTGGGACACGGCGGCAGGCACTCTCTCGATATATTGCGACGCCAACAACTGTGCCCCGACTCCCCATCCATACTTGGCAGCGTACCGCGCAGCAACATCGTGAGCTCTACAGCCAGCACCAACGGGTCACCATCAGCCGACAGCCTCGGCAACCGAAACCTCTGTGGCGCCTCCTCCCTGTCCACTAGGCTGTTGAACTCCGTCATCAGCCGCCCGGTGACCATCTCCCACTCCGTCCTCCCAGCGGCACCGTCAAGGCTGTCGTATACCGCCCTCGCCTCACCTCCCCGCAGCGTCCCCAGCACCGCCAACTCCGCCTCGGGCCCCTTCACACCCACCAGCCCCACCATGGCCTCAAACTCCTCCTGGAAGCTCCGCACACCTCCGTCCTCAAAATCCTTCGACCAAGGGAGCTCCTTCCTTCGAGCAGGCAGCGACACCAAGTGTAGTGAACGAGAACACTTTGGAAGAAGTGGATTCGGACACACACGGAGGAACGCATTCAACTATGTCACAAGACTATTCCTCACTTGGAACCCTAAAGTTCAAAAGTAAAGGGGAAGGCTAAGGAACACATTAAGCTGAGAAATGGAGACAGACATGAGAAGAGTCAGTCAGTCAGTTGCAACGTAGAACTTCGTACGTATGTACATAAGTTCATGTTGCCATACCACATTAGCACAAGAGACGCAAATGTCAAATCGAATCCAAGAGTGATAAAGATAGTAGAGGTATTAATGGTAATGAAGAAGACTTGAGTTCGAAGATATTATTCAAGAAGTATAATTCAGCGAGATAAGGTTAGAAAGACAAAGGTAGAAGTACTGAAGAATCCAGAAGATTAGGATTTGAGAGAGCTCAACGATTGGATGCACCTGCGCCATCGCAAACGATTTTGAGCCATGTCGTTCAAGGTCTCTAACCATTGGTGACTTTCGTCTTGCGGACCCCAACCAGATAGTCTACATCTACCAACATGACTCAGACATGAGAAGAACAAACAATGATTGGACAAAGCTCGAATCTGATCAGCAGCCTATGCTCCACTGTGGGTAACAGGAGTAAGTAAGTAAGTAAGTAAGTAAGTAAATAAGACCGCCCATATTATACAATATATTAAAAACGCACAACTCATTAAAAACATGTTTTTTATTTTATTTAAACAAAACCGAGCATTTACTTTTCAATATTACCATCAGCAATGCTTTGATAGAATGATATAATTGTTTATTTTTAAAAAAATTTGAAAACCGCGCGAAAAACCCAACTGAACATTGAGCATTTCGGTACATAGATATTGATAGATAGAGATATATTAAAAATTCCACCAAAAAAACAAACCCGGTCATTTTAAAAACTATAAAGACTACAATATGGAATATTAGAAGACAACTATGATTATAATTATTATCAGTAATAATAAGAATGTTAATAATGGTCACTCACAACCAAAAAAAGCAAGTATACTTGAAATAGTATTATTATCAGTCACTTTGTCTCAAAATGGTCACACTAAAACCTGTTTTTTTTAAAAAAAAATTAAGAATATTAAATCGGCGTATTTTTATTATTATTATTACTATTATTATTAGAGATAGAGATAAGAAACGAGAAGTACACAAGTGTATAAAGCGCGTTTATCGACAAAACCGGTGATGGAAGGGGACGGGACGGGACGGGGAAGTGAAACAACTGCAGTAAGAAAACAGGACTAAACTGTTTATTTGTGTGTGTGTGTGAGGGTGTATGCATATAAAAACGAATAAAGATTAAAGCGGACGATTACAATCAGTGATCATTAGCCTCTAGGCGTACGGGCTCACTAAAATCTACTTGACGTCGCTGTGGTTGCGGTTGTCACTGTTGACACGCTGCTCAACGTAGTAGTAGTAGTTGTCGTTGCAGTCACACCCGGTGCTGGCCATTGACGATCAATATTCGGCTTGAATGTCCTCCTCAGCGGTTTATGTGTATACAATGTCTCTGTGGAATTATGCCATATATGCCAACATGCTGGACAGAAATAATTGAAACATTCAAATGCTCGGCAAAAGTACATGCCAGGATAAGCAAGACAACTATTACATATGGCATCTTCTAAATACGGATCAATTTGAATGGTTTTAATGAATTTCGATGTACGAATATCTACAAAATTCGCTGTGATCGCTTTCATGTAACTTTTATGACTAGAGAAAATCACTCTGCCAGAACCTGATTAGATAACAAAAGTTTTAGAAAAAAAAATAATCAAATTTAAGGCAAGCAAACATTTTAATTCAATTCAGAAAGTTAATTTAATCTGCCCTTGAAATCAACCATTTTGATTGAAGATCAGTGTTAGACAAGGTTGCTTACTTTCATCCTTTCAATTTCTTTCGGTAGTCGACTGGATTTTGAAGACGTTAATATGTGAGGGGAAGCACAGGATACAGTGGAACAGCTTGGATGAAGCTGGACTTCACAGATGATCTAGCCCTGTCAGTCAGTCAGTCAGTTACAACATAGAACATCGTACGAAAGTACATCAGTTCAAGTTGCCATACCACATTAGCACACAGATACGCAGTTCTCAGTTTAAATCCCATAGGAGTAGAGGTAGTGAAAGTATTGGCAGTAATCGCAGAGATTATGGTTCGGCGATATTATTCAAGAAGTATAATTCAGTGAGGTAAATTTAGGAAGAGAAAGATAGAAGTGACGAGGAATTCAGAAGATTAGAATTTCAGAGAACACAAAGAATTTATGCACCTACGTGATTGCAAAAGATTTCGAGACATATCGTTCAAGGTCTCTAACCATCGGTTGCTATCATCCTGTGCACCCCAACCAGGTAGTCTACACCTAACAACATAATACAGTTTACTTATCAGTGACTACATGGATTTGTGCCATGTTTTGATTTTGCCGCCCCTAGATTTCTTGCAACCTGCTCCTACACCATAGAATATAGCTCGACGAGCCAGAGTCGGTGGTTGGACATTCCAGTCACTGTAAATGTATCAGCAACTTTGATTAAACTTTTGATCTCAACAGCTGTTAATCAAAAGTTTATGCCTTCTTTTATACATTTTGAATTCTTGTACTTTCAATGAATTTCGTAGAGTGAAACTTCGATTTTACAAGTTGTTCTCGTGATCACGGTAACCGATTTGGATTTGAAATATAAAGGTATCATCAAATTTTTCAAAATGCTAACATGTTTTACCTAAAATATCAAAACACTGACTTCGCCAAAAACCAGCTGATCAATCCCAGATCAAATAGATGTGTACAAACAATGTATGCCTTATAACCACTTACCTATTGGATATTTGTACTTATCTGTATCCAAAGCAGCAAATATTACATTGCCAAATAAATCATTCATAATTGTTACCAATGTTTCTGCTGTAATCAATGCATGAAGCGCTCCAACAAACACAGTTCTCTTGATATCCGAAGAGCTAGGAGTTGATTTTGTGTATTGACTATCACTAATAACCCATGGTATAACCTATAAGGGAAGATTTTATAATTGAAATATTGACTAACATCATTTCGCAGACAAATGTATTTAATTTTGTTAACCCGGTCATTTGACAAACGTACAAATCAGTTCCTGGAAGCACTGGACGGCCGTTTCGTCCTGGTATGGGACTCCTCAGCAGCGCGCATCCATGACTCCTGCATTCCTCAGGATTCAAAAATGTGTAACTTAACAATATTCACAACCCCGTAATGCGAATTACATGTGCTCACTAGTGACTAGCTTCGTGAGGAATCTTCTCCTAGTTCTAGTGGGTAGAAGGTGACCAGTGAAGTTCAACCTGTTCCGGTGTAGGCAGTGTCTACCGAAGAGGTTGCGCAACTCCGTGAATTTGATCAAGTTAGACATTAACACCATAGGATTCCGGCTCAGTGGTCTAACGGTTAGGGCTTTCACGCACAATACCGAAGGTCCTGGGTTCGAACCCTGCGGGGTGCAGAAGTCGTGGATGCGCACTGCTGAGGAGTCCCATAGCAGGACGAAACGACTGTCGTGCAGTGTTTCCAGGTTTCTAATGGTGGTCTAACATTGATCGATTCATGGTTTCAAAAATGTGTAACTTAACAATCTTCTCAACGCCGTAATGCAAATATATTTAATTTTGTTAACCGATCATTTGACAGACGCACAAATCAGTTCCCGATAATAATAGTAATAATCATAATAATAATATTTGAACTTTGAACTTATTCCTAACGTAAGTTCAACATTCAATTTACCAAATAACTCACAAAACAAAATTATCCACTGACACGTAATCTGTGATGTAATCTGTATTCACTTAGATGGTTGATTTAATTCTTTTATTCAACAGACTGATCAAAATTCAATTAATGTCTGGAGATAAGTAAATTTGATAACAACTCATTTTGATTTCAGAAAAAAAAAACACAAAGAAATGAAGAATGTGATCTGGAATAACTTAGTTGTTGTTTGATTAAACTTTTAAATAGGTCATGTAGATTAGCACTGTACATACACAGACTAAATTGTCTGATCAAAGCAACTGTGGTGTGAGCTACTTATAAGTAGTATATGACATGAGTGTCAACGTAATGTCTGGCAGCAGAAAATGGGGGAAGATCAAGAAGGGAAAAGTTAGAACACAATGCAATTTGCATGAAACGCATAAATAGTGAAATGTCAGACAATCGATTGATGATTGATTGAAGATTTGCAAATGAACGATTTACGATATGGTTTTCCTATTTTACTGAGTAACTCTGTAATTTTCGTTAAATGAAAATCGGCTGCCCTCACCTACGTTCTCCTTCACTACAGCAGTAGTGAAAACGTTTACTTAATCCGAGTTACACTGTCATCATACGGACAAAAGAAGCAAGTGAATAAACCACAATTGCACTGAAGAGTTTGAAAAAGAAGTCTGAAGGAAGGCAAAACCGCGATGACCATTTCTGTAAACGTGGAAATATCGGAGGAAGTTAAGAAGATTCTAGAAATAAACACAACATGAGGGTTTATTTCCATGCCAGTGAGATCACAAGTTCGGTGTTAGTCAAGGTTCAGTCAGTCGGTCCGCCACACTGTAGAACTTGGTACTTACTTATACCAACCAGTTCAAGTTGCCCTGCCATATAAGCTCAGGTTAAGGTTAAGTATAGGGTAGGTTACCGAAGAAATAACTGAATATACAGTTGAAGGAATACAGTCAGTGTTTGAAACATTAGAAACCTGACAGACGCACTGGATGGCTGTTCTGGCCTGGTATGGGACTCATCGGTGACAGTGCGCATCCACGCCTTCCAATGCTCACGGGATTCGAACCCAAGATCTCCAGTCATGCTGGCGAATACTTAGCTTCTAGACCTCTGAGCCGACATCCAGGGGTGTTAATGTCTAACTTCGATCAATTCACGGTCTTGTGTAACCTCATCCACTGTCTTGAGTGAGTATTGTTTCACACCCGAACAGGGTTAAACTCCAATGGTTACGACTTCTCACTAGAACTCTGGACCACTCTGTGGGTATCAAGTATTGTCTCTCATCCCATGATTTGATTGATTGAGATAATTAGAACGGACTACTTACTTTGCGCACAGATAAATAAATAGGCTTGCGTATCAGGTTAAAGCTTACATGCGATTATCACTAACTGTAACTGCGTACAATGATTCGTCTATACAGAACATTCATTGACAAATGATGTAACCTATAGGGGGTTGCTGTTTCAAATGAACTCAGATAAATAGACTGAAGTAACAGCACTGTCGTCTCATTATTGAATAATCAATGACACACGTAATGACAAACGTATCGATCAGTTGAATAAACTACTCACTTGTACATCTTTGGATATAAATTTCGGACTTGATATTTTGAAATATTCACCACCTGTTGTCGGATTATGAACACAATTCCCGAGTAATTCGGACACAGACACCTCATGTTCAAATATCAGATAACAGTAACCTGAAATAAGATAAATAATGATCAGTAAATAAGGCGAAGTTCAAGTTGCCTGAGTTTCGTTTTTGCACGCAATAAAATTAATTACCCACCTTTAGTTGATGAAGCTTTCAAATTTGCATTACCACAATTCGCGCCCTCTTTTTGTGGCCAACAAACACTTACATTGCCAAATCGAGAAAAAGCTCTAACTAATTCTTCACTGGTACTATCCCATGGAACACCACCAAGAAATACTTTTCTAGAGAATGTCATTGATCGATGCACTCGAATAGGCAATTTTCCTGACCAATGATAAGCTGCTTCACTTGTCTGAGCCACTGTACCTAAAAAATCAATGAACATAATCTGTATAAGTGATTGTACATTGTTGCTGTTGTTGAATGTTGAAGGATTAAAATCCCAGTTTCATTGATGCAAACACTACATTAATCGATCAGCTACAAAGTAGAACCTACGTACGTAGGTACTTACATCAGTTCAGCAAAAACAGGAATGGAAGAAGGATGGAGCGTTGGAAGTCACGACTCAAAGATGATGTGCAAATAGAGTGTTCAATGTAATGTTTTCGTTTTCGTCTTGTTGGGCAATTCCTCTTCCAATGTCCTGTTCCTCCGCAAATACAGCATTTATTATTCCTTCCAGCCTTTATTAGTAATGCTGCCACCTCGCGTTGTAATTCTTCTATCTTCTTCGTGACATCATCAGCCTGTCTTTCATACGCCACCGAGGCGACTGTTGAGTTCATCAATTGTCTTGTTACTTTAGCCAGCTCGGTGACGTCCATTGGTTGTGCGGCGTTCACCAGTTTCAACTGTTGGGCAACCTCTGCAGGCATACCTTCAATTAATTTCGACGCTGGCAGCTGTGCTTGCGACTCCTCATCCAAATTCGGCAGACCCCAGCGCAGCAATCTTGTCAACTCCACAGCCAGCACGAGCGAGTCGCCATCCACCGTCAGTCTCGCCTCTTGGAACTTCTGCAGCGCGTCCTGCCTATCCGCCGGGCGGTCGAACTCCACTAGCAGCCTCTCCGTCACAACTTCCCAGTCAGCGTCCTCCACACCATCGTACACCGCTTTCGCTCTGCCTCTTAGTACAGTCCCCAACACCACCGCATTCGCCCTCTGCTCCTTGACTCCTACCAGCACCGCTACGGCTTCGAACTCCTTCAAGAAGCTCCTTACATCTCCGTCGTCAAACTCCCGAGGCCATGGAATCTGCATCCTGTGTAGAGGCAGCGACACCAATTGAGAAGACTGAGACAGGCGCGGAAGATTGTAATATGTAAATTTACACTCTTAGTCAATCAAAAACGAAAACATTACATTGAATACACTCTATTTGCACACCATCTTTGAGTCGTGACTTCCAACACTCCATCCTTCTACCATTCCTGTTGTTGCTTCCTTTACTTCCTGTTGGTACCCCATTTACTTCTTGATTGTGCGCCATTTGCTTTCCGTTTTCCTCTTCTGACCGTGGCGCTTCTTCTTCCACGTCCCTTCTTATACTACTACTTATATCGTTCGTATAAGTAGCACACGCCACAGCCATACTACACATCAGCCAGCACACACAGAGATGCAATTGTCAATTGTCACATTTCATAGTCAACATATTAGCGGTAATGTTGAAGATTAGGTTGAATGAATAAATAATGAAATCAAACTTACTTGCAGAATTCCGATAAACATTCGCTGCTTTATCAATATCATTCTCAAATGAACTCATCAGTTGTTGATAAGGCAATGCCAATTGCGACAATTCCTCTGTCAAACTACCACTATCCGATGATAATGTATACTGACGACGTTGTTGTAACGATGAAGTTGGCGATGGTGTAGAGTTGAACAATTTGGTTTCACGATCCATTGATACACGTTCATGAAGTAGTTGTGTAATGTTTGTGGGATGATTATTATTACTATTATTATTATTATTGCTATTGTTGTGGTTCAGTGTAGAATTCGACTGAAAACTCGACAATTGATTAGCTAAAAGACTATAAAGTGTATTATGTTGTTCTTGTGGTGTACAATTTGTCTGATTCAAAACAGATGGATTCGTTTGAGACTGTGTGGCGGCGGCATTTAATAGACTAGCTAATAATGACACCACAGAATTTGTATTAATAGTTGTTGCTTGAGAAAGTAAATTGCCTTTCACCATATTACTATCCATTTGTGTCATTAAATTCACTAACTGATTACAATTTGATGATAACAAGGAGCTGGGTCGTTTATCATGGATATTAGCTAGTAAACTGTCATTATTTTGATGTCCTCCTTGTATATTATTCATAGAATGAATCCCAGTTGAATTAGTTTGCATTGCGCACTGTGGTGTATTAGACAAGATACTACGAAGAAGGCATTCATCATAGGTGGTTAGCTCACTGCGTACAGTAGTTCTACGATTATTTCTAGGCAATTGATTCGATGCGATGCTGAATTGTTTATAATTCTGACCACTAACAGTGGATGTAGGCCGTCGATTATTCTTTTCCAATGTTGTCTCCATCGATGGTAAAAGATTGTTGAGTAGAGTATCATTAATGTTTTGATTTGTCAAAAGACGTAAAAGTAAATCTTGAGTTAACGATTCAGTGGAACCTGTGGAGGATTAAAAGGTGAAGTAAATAAAAATACTGTGAAATTTAAGCAGAATTTTTTCTTTTTTCGAAACGAGATAACAATTAATAAAAATCTATTCCACAAGGATACATCCAATTCGATCTTCAGTAGTCCAGTCACCAAACAGTGTAAACAGGTTTATAACATTCAATAATACATTGTTTACACTAAGTGAGATTCTAAATTGAATCTAACCTAATCACAAGATTTTGGATAGGGATGGCAGATTAGTTTGTGAAGTAGTGAATATTCATCAGTTTGGAGTAGTGGTGTAATGAACGAGAACACAGGTGGGGCAACCGAATTGCATTTAACGAAAATTACAGAGTTACTCAGTAAAATCCGAAAACCATATCGTAAATCGTTAATTTATTTGCAAAATATCAGTTCATCATATCGAACTGGACTGTTCCTGTTGCAAACAACATCAATCCATTGTCACTATTCATGCGTTTCATACAAATTCCATTGTGTTCTAACTCTTCCTTTCTTGATCTTCCCCTATATTATGCTGCCAGACTTTACGTTGACACTCACGTCATATACTACTTATAAGTAGCTCACACCACAGTGTGGATATGTGTTATGTATGCCCAACCATCGACTGCTTCAGCGAGCGATGATGCCTGGTGTAGGGCTGGGCTGGAAGAAAGCTAGGGACGGTCAGACCAAACAAAACATGACACAGATCCATGAAGTCAGAGACAACTGGATTGAGCCGTGTTAGTAGGTATAGACTGCCTGGTTGGAGTCCCTGGGTCAATGGTAACCGACGGTTAGAGACTTTGAATAACCTGCCTCAAAACTAAGTGTAGTGACGTAAATGCATCCAGTCTCTGTCTTCCTCCGAAATTCTAATCTTCTGAATTCCTCATCACCTCTGTTTTCGCAAAACATATCTTCTAATCCTAATCTTTTCGATTACAATTAATACTTCTACTGCTTCTACTACTATGGGGTTTGAATTGACAATTCCATCCCTCTATCTGTTTGCTAATGTGGTATGGCAACTTGAACTGATGTACCTAAGCACTACGTTCTACGTTGCAACTAACTGATTGACTGACTGACTGACTGACTGTTAAGGGTTAGTTACCTCAATAGGTTTTTAGTCACACAGACCAACTAGAATCATATTCTTTCAATCTACTTCTTGGCTTATTCGCTTACACAAGTATTTGAAATCTCACAACGACAATCAAAGCCTTCACGATACTTCTGTTTCGACCATCAGTCAGTCAGTCAGATGCAACGTAGAACTTTGTACATAAGTACATCAGTTCATGTTGCCATACCACATTATTAGCACAGAGATGTAATTGTCAATTCAAATCCAATAGCAGTAGAGGTACTAAAGGTAGTAGAAGTAATCGGAGAGGTTATATGATTAGAAGATATTATTCAAGAAGTATGATTCAGTGAGAAAAGTTTAGAGAGTCGAAACTAGAGGTGTTGAAGAATCTAGGAGATTAGGATTTGAGAGAACACAAAGAATAAATGCACCGGCGCCATTGCGAACGATTTTGAGCCATGTAATTCAAAGTCTCTAACCATCGATTATTATCATCTCGCGGACCCCAACCAGGTAGTCGACAATTACCGATATGACTCAGTCCACTTGTCAATGACTTCATGGATTTCTGCCATGTTTTGGTCTGGCCGCCCCTGACTTTATTCCAACCTACTCCTACACTACAAAACAAAGTTCGTCGAGGCAGTCGGTGGTTTGGCATACGCAAGACATGTCCCAACCACCTTAACTGATGAAGTTTCACCACTTCATCTATTGATCTGCCATCCTTGCCTAGTACTTGTTTCCTAACGACAGCATTGCTTACTCGGAAACAACCTTCCACGGTGTGGGCAGCCGGGAAGTGACAACCGCCCTCATACCCGTAACAGCACGCGAGACCAAATTGGTCAAAATCAAATCCTTCCTACACCCCCTAATATCTCTCTTATCTCTGCGACTAACTCTACTCACACTCCCTTTTCTCACTGCACCGCTAATGCGAGATCACGAAACTTCGTTCCTGGTCTCTTGAAACCCCGTTTCGACCATATTTTCCATTAAATAGACATATTTTTCAAAACTTGTTAAATTATCAATTTAAAACGGGGGCTTACTTTTATCATCCACTTTGAGATTTTTCATTGATGCCAAAGAAATAAGTTTTTGATAGAGTTGTTGTAATTGTTGCAATTTCAACAGTTGATAATCTTGTTGATTACGAGCGGAACTAGCAGATGATGAACTACTCATCGACTGCGCTACATGTTGCTGTTGTGATGGTGGTGGTTGGTTTTGGTAATGATTCTGATATTGATGATATTGCGATTTGTTTGGCGTTGTCGGTTTACTAGTCGGTGAACACTTCACAAATTGACTATCTTTTGTGTGAGTCGCTTTGGTTGTGGATTCACCACAACCTGTCAATTCTTCAACATAACGTGCCACCGAAGCGAAATTCTCATCTATACTCTGAAAATCACGGCTGGCAATCATTCGTGTCTGAGCAACCATTGTATCATAATCAAATTCATCACTGGAACCATATTGAAGAATCGATTTGCCTTCACTAGAAGACGGTGGTGAAGTTGGCGTCTGCAAGTCGGTTGTTTTCACTTGACATCCCAACTGTGGATATTCTGTCTTCATGACTGGAACTTCTCTGTTCTTATTGGTATCACATGACACATTTAGGTAATCATCACTCTTATCTAAACTCATATCACTTGTATCCTCATCTAAAGTTATCAGACTATGATTTGGCCAGTGTAAACGAGAATCAGGCCGATCTTCATCCTTGAAATAACTTGTATTACAATGATCAGCAATCATAGATCCTAGTCCGCTAGAGTCCTGTGTAAAATCACATGCATTCATACTAAGAATACTTGTATTAGTCATGTCTAGATTAGTTTCCTTATTTTTAGTCAACTGATGCTTCAATGTTTGAGTGCCAGCTAAACATGGTCGTCCTGGCGTAAACGTTGACGGACTTGTTGTGAGTCTTGCCCCAGTTTGAAGTGACTTCTCTTCACTGAACATTTGTTGGATGCTCAATTTCATGTCAGGACGAGATGACATACCATCGTTCTTGTCATCTGTAAGATAAAAAATTGAAAATCGGGAATAATTAATAAACCTTTGCTCTATGGTCCCACCAAAAAAAAACGCTGTCACCTCAGCCTTCAGTTCATTGTCTGATCACTATGTGACACAAGTATCAGAGACATAACCCAATCATCGTTTCATAGCTTAAAAAGAAGTAAATGTGGTGAATTCTATGCCATATCGACCTGATAAAAAATCGATAACTTCTAGGCTGCACCGAAAAGCAGTGCACTACTGGTCAAAAACAAAATACAGGGAAGAAGTTTCATCCAGTCAGTCTAAAACACCGTCATCGATGTGGTCTTCATCGAATCGTGTGAAATTTGGGTGTTGTGAAACTCATTAATGAATTGAAACCGCACATATTCACCGAAAAGAGTACCCACGTGGGTACTCGGAGAAAAAAAGTTACCAGTCACTTGGACCATCATACCTTTTAGAACTGTACAACAGGCCGAGATTCAATAAAGCAGTTGTTGACTGTCTTGAACTTATAGTTCTGTTTTCCTCGTCAGTCGATAAAATAAGACCTTTTCCGGAATAAAGGACCTGAACAAACTAACTGCTCCTTATTCAAACAATCGTTTGTTTGTAGAAAGATTGACGGCATTCGAATAAATTCCTGACTGACAAATAACTATACAATTCAGTCAATCTATTCAATAAAAAGCCAAACTTAGTTATACTGGAGGCAGTGTGGGTGTAGGAAGGATTTGATTTAGACCAATTCGGTCTCTCGTGCTGTTACGGGTATGAGGGCGGTCGTCACTTCCCAGCTGCCCACACCGTGGAAGGTTGTCTCTTGAGGGACCTGAAAGAGAAGGTAGATTAGTGTTGGTCTTAGAGACCCGGGTGCTTGACCGCAGAGTCCAAGGGACAACTGCTTGAGGCCGGTCACGCACGGCCTTTTTATGAAGGGTTTGTTGAGTATTAGCTCCGCTCTTGAAAGCCCTTAGTGGACACCCTTACCCGAGGAGACGGAAATCCGTGAGTCAGGGTGAGGTGTGACATTTTTAGGGTCGACGTTTTCTAACCCTTCCTTCCGTTGTGAGAAGGCAGCATCGCTGCAGATGCTTGTTGTCCGGTGGAAACACCTTACTGCTGTCACACTTCTCTAAAGCCAACAGTACAACTCCTCCCTCAGACCCTGAGTAGCTGCTTTTAGTCTCACCATTCTCCAATCGACCTGCCTGGCATGGTAGAACGTACAGGAACATATGTTCTAGCCAGTATAGCTCGGTTGGGTCATCACGATGATGAGTTTGATATCACAGGGGAGAATTTCAATATATATATATATATCGAACAACTTTAAAATTCAAATGAAACATTTTCATGATTACTCAAAGTGCAATTCAGTTCACTGCTTTTTCAAAGTATCGATTTTCTTAAAAATCGTTTTAACTTGTTTCTATGATAAAGTCTCTCGTTTCTCACAGTTTCCAGCAATCATACAAGTATCACCGTAGTAAATACTGATCAAATCATAATGTGTGAGTTTATAATTTGTGATATGAAGTAGACGATAGTTATGCAAGCGTATTTAATGAAATACACCAGCCGTGACCGGTGGAGCTCAACTGTGTCGAGTGTAGACAGTCACTCACCGAAGACAGTGGGTAAGGTTGCACAAAATCCTTAGATCGATCAAATTTTGACATTAACACCGTCAGGTGCCTGCCGGCTCAGTGGTTTAGAGGTAAAGTATTCACGTGACAGACCGAAGGTCTTGGGTCCGGCTGCTGCAAGTAGCGGGAGCCCTAGATGCGCACTGTTGATGCGTCTCATGCCGGGAAGAAATGTCTGTCCAGTGCTTCTAGGTGGACTAATCATGACTGATTCATGATTACAACAATAAACAAAAATCTACATAACTCTTCCTTAGGAAATTCTCGGAGATCTAGTGAGAAGAGGTGTGATCAATGGAGTTCAACCCTGTCAGTGTTCACCGAAGACATTGAATCAGGTTACGCTGTAGTGAAGGAGAACACACGCGGGGCAACCGGATTGTATTTAACGAAAATTACAGAGTTACTCAGTAAAATAGGAAAACCATATCGTAAATCGTTCATTTGCAAAATATCAGTCCATCATATCGAACTGGACTGTTCCTGTTGCAAAACATCAATCCATTGTCACTATTCATGCGTTTCCTACAAATTCCATTGTTTTCTAACTCTTCCTTTCTTGATCTTCCCCCCCCCATCTTTTGCTGCCAGATATTACGTTGACACTCATGTCATATACTACTTATAAGTAGCTCATACCACAAAGCAAATTCCTTAGATTGATCAACGTTAGACGATAACATCGTTGAATGTCGGTCGGTTGGTCAGCTCAGTAGTCCAGAAGTTAGGCGTTCGCGTGTCAGACCCAACCAGAGAGGCTCATAGATCTGTACTGTTGAAGGACCCAAAATCAGGACAAACTGACTGTCTGGTGGTTTTTCCAACTTTCTAATTCTCACCTAAACATGATCGATTCATGATTCTCAATATACACATATAACAATTTAACTTTCAACTTTCAATCAATTATGAAATAATCAAGAATAATTAATTTTTTAAAACAATAAAAACCAATACTTACTATGAATAGTTGTATTTGTCGAAACATTGTCCAATTCATTTGTCGTGGAAATCAACGCCTCCGACAAATGTCTTAATAATGGATTACGATAAGGATTCTGTGTAGCAGACCATGTATTCATTATTTTTGATCGTGTGTAAGATTATTGTTGTTAAAAAGTAAAGTACAAACTGTTCAATTGAAAATGTTTGATTAATTAATTAATTAATTAAAATAGGAAAAATGAGAAACAATCATTCAAAGACCTTCAAGAGAGATGAGTGTTGTTTTATTTGAAATGAATAGTTAAAATCATCAATTCGGCGACAAACATTCCCGCGCTGTGATAAAAATTCAAATGAACCAGACAGAAAAAAATAAAACAACAACTGACGACTTGACACACACACACACACACACTCGCACACAAACACACTAAAACTGTGAGCAGTATTCACTGCGTCAGATAAACTCAAATCATTTGTAGAGCACTTTGTGGTGTGTTTCGGGTAGAAAACTACGGATCGATTTCTCCCTCGAATGAATGGAGTGCGTTCGTTAATCATTTTTTTCTAATATCAGGCACGTGCATGCCCAAACTTACTCCCTTTTGTGGTTTATCAAGTTATCGATCGATTGAGCGATCGATCGATCGACTGATTGATTGACTGATTGACACTGAACGATACTCATTATTTTAGAAAAAAAAACACATTTTTGGATAATTTTGAGTGATCTGATTGGATGATGGAAAGGGGCAAACAAATCGATAGGACATGAGATTGTGGTTGGATTATTGATTTTTTTTGGGGGGCTAGGGGGGATGGACAAAAAATGACGCAAAAAAATAACAAATTCCGATGTTTTTTTCTTCAGTGTACTCACAAGTTACTTTTTTGAAAATCATGAATCGATCAATGTGTGGTACGCGCTACTTATAAGTAGTATATGACGTGAGTGTAAACGTAATGTCTGGCAGCAGAAGATGGGTGAAGAGATCAAGAAAGGAAGACAAGGGAACACAATGGAATTTGTATGAAACGCATGAATAAGTGAAATAAATGTCAGACAATGGATTGATGATGGATTGAAGATTTGCAAATTAACGATTTACGTTATGGTTTTCTGATTTTACTGAGTAACTCTGTAATTTTCGTTAAATACAATTTGATTGCCCTCACCTATGTTCTCCTTCATTACAAATGTCAGACCATCAGCATTAGAAACCTGTGTAAAGCATTTTTTTCATCCTTGTATGTACTGACTAGTGACCAGCTTTGTGGAGAGATTCTCGGGGTTCTAGTGCAAAAATGTGACTAGTAGAGTTCAACCCTATCGGGTATGTGTAGGTAGGGAGAGGTTGAGTAAAATCTTTAGATTGATCAAAGTGGTCCAGAGCTGAAGCGTTCGCGTACCAGACCGAAGGTCCTGAGTTCAAATCCTGTGATTAGCAGTAGTTGTGGATGGGTGCTGACATGGATGATTCCCATACTATAGGATGAAACGACCATTCAGTGCTCCCAGATTTCTAAAGTTGGTTAAACACTGGCCGATTTTATAATTTCAAAAAGTAACTAAACCTTATCCAAAATCCTATAGTACTCTCACAAGTACTGTAGTATGACTCATGAACGTGATTAATTGCACTTCCCGTTGAATTGATATCGTCTTTTGTTGATTAAACCATAGAATGTAGTGTGTGTATGTACAGATAGGTTGAGACGACGAGGCTTGTCCTAGCTATCGGACAAACCAATTGACCTTTTTTCTTGCTGAGTTACTACTATTCACATGTCTTTCTACCTTGTTAATTATTTGCATATAATCTTGGTTGTCCTCTCAGTTGAGTGTGTATGTGCATCGCTTAGTTTGTATACTACATGCCTAGTTTATTTTGTCTGACTATAAATGCTCAGTCATGGCTCATTATTATTACACTGAGTTGGCTCTCTCACCTTCTCCACTTCGCTTCGCTTCGCTTTACTTTAACGCTTTACATTCGTTACAGAAACGAGGTTCATCTATGTATGAAAAACGGAAACTTAACAGGAGTTTTATTTTATAGCATCTTCGACTATTCGTCCAAACTGGATCGCGCGCCACTAAGTTAATGAACACTACTACATTGAGTCCGAAGCAACCCACTAAAAGACTTTATTGATATAGTCATGTTTTACACATCTCATGACAGAGACTTCTACATCGTTCAGTATTTGACAACTCTGTGACTAAAGGAAATTAATGGAGACATTGTCAGTTTATATCATGAAGCCGTGGCACTAGACGGTTATTTCTTCTTAATAAGGTACGCATCAGCTGTGCGCATCCAAAACTCCCACCACTCGTAGGATTTGGACCTCAGACCCTTAGGTTAGTGCGCAAACGCCTAAACTAACGCAACCTCACACACTGTAGTTACCATTTACATCCGACCGAGTTGAAATCCACCAGTCACGTCTTCTCACCAGAACTCCGAGAATTTCTTTATGGAGCTAATCCCTAATGAGTGCATTGTACGGTTTTTTCAATTAGATTTATTGAGATCAGTGTTTTTAACATATTGAAATCGTCCGTCAATCAGTGATTGTTAGACCACTTGTGAGTAGCAGGAGTTGTGGATGCGCACTACTGATGAGTCTCATAACAGGACAAAAAGGCCATCCAGTGCTTCTAGGATTTTAACAGTGGTTTACCAATGATTTTAATGATAAACAACACTCTCCATAAAACGATAATGAAAAATAATTTACAGTTGATGAGCAGTATACATTTTCTTTTGATAAGGGTTATGTTCCATGAACTAGATGATGTTAATCGAAGAGTTTTCATTGACATTCTTCAGAGTTCAATTAGGAGTTGAAAACTGTTTTATTAAAATCAATGGGATTAATTCATTGGAATTCTGGACTTCGCAGATGACTTGGCTCTTCTATCGAACACGCAACAACAAATGCAAGAGAAGACGACTAGTGTAGCAGCAGCCTCTGCAGCAGTAGGTCTCAATATACATAGAGGAAAAAGCGAAATTCTCCGATGCAACACAATATTGCACCAATCAAATCACTCTTGATGGAGATACTTTGGAGGATGTTAACACCTTTGCATATCTGGGCAGCATCATCGACAGCCAAGGTGGATCCGATGCAGATGTGAGGGCACGGATTGGCAAAGTAAGGGCTGCATTTCTACAGTTGAAAAATATCTGGAACTCCAAACAACTATCAACAAACACCAAAATCAGGATTTTCAATACAAATGTCAAGACAGTTCTACTGTATGGAGCGGAAACTTGGAGAACTACGAAAGGCATCATCCAGAAGAAACAAGTGTTTATTAACAGTTGTCTACGCAAAATACTTCAGATTCGTTGGCCAGACACCATTAGTAATAACCTACTTCAGGAAAGAACAACCACATTCTTGAAGAGGAGAAAATCAGGAAGAATTATTACGAGTGGATAGGACACACAGTACGAAAAGCACCTAACTGCATCACAAGGCAAGCCCTCACATGGAACCCTCAAGGCAAAAGGAAAAGAGGAAGGCCAAGGAACACACTACGCCGAGAAATAGAGAAAGAGATGTGAGGAATGAACAAACATCGGACAGAATTGGGAAGGGAAGCCCAGGACAGAGTTGGTTGGAGAAAACTGGTGGGTGGGTGGCCTATACTCCATTGGTGGTAACAGGCGAAAGTAAGTAAGTAAGTAAGTAAGTAAGTAATTCATTGGAACTGATAAGTATCGTAAATGTAATTGACTGAAATTAACTCAACCGAATTCATCTGACCAGTAATTAAGGGTTAAAAAGATTTTGAAATTGGTTTTTCGAGTCATTTTATTAAAATTTTCACAGGCGCCATTGTTAGACGAACTGATCACTGAATCATGGAGTTATAGTCTAAAAATGTGTTTTGTACATGCTTACAAGTGATTAGCCTCGTGAAGAAATGCAAGTAGTTCTAGTGAAAAGATATAACCAGTGGAGTTCAACCCTGTCGGATATAGGCAATAACTGCCGAAGACAGACGGATGAGGACACACAAAACCCTAGTTTGATCAACGATAGACATTAACACCGCTGGATGCCGGAGGTTATATGTTTCACGTGTGAGGGAGAAACGTTCTTGGTTTGCTTCCTGTGAGTAGTGGGAGTCGTGAATGAAAACTGCTGATGAAACCTGTACCAGGACGAAACAGCTGTTCAGTGCGCTTACAGGTTTCTAATGCTGGTCTAACAATCACGGATTTATGATTTCAGTGTACAACTCTTATTACATTTCTTAGTTCAAGTTATTTTGATTTGTCCACCAGTTGACTCATATAGATTTAGCATGAAACAGATATTTGTTGGCAAATTGTAATTCTACTAAGTTTTATTCTACACAAAAAACAGATTTGCACACCATGTAAAGTGATAAGTGTTCACATAGAAAATCGATAGTTTGTCTTCCTATTGTCTATTTTCTAGTATAGTAAACAGTGTAACTCAATTTTTTTGTACTGAACAAAAAAACATGACCATATTATGGGTATTTTCAAGTTCACTAAAGTTTGTCTGAAAATTCAAATCTCTACTCATGAAAAATGAATATAATATGATGGGAAACGGTTTGAATACATTTTTTGTTCTGATTAACGGACAGTATCCAACTTAGAATTCTTGAGATTAATAGAGAAGGAGGGAGACCAAAGGATACACATTACATCTATACTGGTCTATTGTATGCAGTGGAAACTTGGAGAACTATGAAAGATACAAATGTTTATTAACATTTGCCTACGCAAAGTTCTTCGGATCCTTCAGTCAGACACCATAAGCATTAACCTACTGTACGAGAGAGAACAAACTAGATTCCAGTTGAGAGGGGAAACAGGGAGATGCCCTAGAAGTGGATAGGATACACAATGCGGAAATCGCCCAACTTCGTCACAAGAAAAACCCACAAGTTCAAAGGAAAAGAGGAAGGCCACGGAACATATTACGCTGACAAATGAATACAGACATGAGAAGAACTAACAACTATTGGATAGAACTTGAAAGGAGATAGGAGGATAGAGTAATTTAGAGAACGCCGATCAGCTGATCTATGCTTCATCTGGGGAAACAGGTGTGTGTGAGTGAGTAAGTGGGCGAAGAAGTGGAGAAACATTGACAATTGATAACGGTAAATTTTCAACACTCATAATAGAGTAAAGACATATGAGTTAGATGAATAAATACTACTTATTAATACTACTTCATTAAAACTATTCTGGTTTGCATTAGTATCTAGACTTATCTGACTGATCACTGTCCAATGGACTATATCATCTGTCTTTCATTTAACTAGATACTAACTGTTTTTGAGGTGTTGG